AATCATGTGCTACCGATCAGATGTGGCGTGTTGTGGCTAAGCCAGCTAAACGGCTTGCCTTGCTTTAAGGAACCCCCATGAAGGGAAGGTAACATTCCACGAAGAAATGGTAAGAGAATACTAGATTCAAAATACCTTGTAAAAAGAAATTAGGGAATGGGGGATATATATAAGAAATTTTCACAACGATTATCAAGACCTTACGGTAAACAAATAAACAGACGCGCTAGAGTTGAGATCAAGATTATAAATAAAATTGACTCCCGTTATTTTTTTTTGTGTTTCGGACTGATTATCGGCTTTCTGATTTGGAACAACTGAAAATTTGGCCGGTGGCGCAGTAATTGTGGTGACTAAGTGACCAGCACTGTATAAATTTATTTTTTGTCTTGTAAAATAACTGTTTCGAAATGTCTACTACAAATCAACTACTCCCTCTTGGTTGTTAATTCACTAGCTCTTTTATTACATCTTTCCATATAACATCTCATTTTGCTTATTTTTTCATTCTTTTTAACACCTAGAATTAATCGACAAATGTATTGGCTCGAAGATATGGGTTATTATGAAGAGCGAGAAGGAGTTCACGGGAATCTTACGCGGTTTCGATGATTATGTTAGTATCCTTCATTCAGCGTGGAGAAGAATCCGCTGCATTATTACATTTGAATCTTAGCATAGTTTCTCGCGTCTATCTTTTTGATTATTCCTTAACCAAAGCCATTTCCTATAAAACTACAAGATATGGTCCTTGAAGACGTGATTGAATAGTAAGTGCACCTGAACTTTATTAATAATTTTGGACATGATAGTGATAATTTTTTGTTCTCAGTGAAAATACACCAGAAGGTCGAAAAACAACAAAACTTGAGCAAATTCTGTTGAATGGCAACAATATCACAATGGTCAGTCAGTCCATAATTCATTATTATTGATGATATTGGCGCAAGAATATATTGATTCATTTTTTTCAAATAGCTTATTCCGGGTGGTGAAGGACCAGAGAGCTAAAAATAGGCTTTTTTCTATTTGGAGAGTTATGTACTAAAATTAATATAACCTGCTCTTGCAAGTATTTCACCCTATGTTGGTCAAGAACCTCCTGATGATTATATTGATAAATGACAGTATAAAAAAGCATAACTTATATGGGTCTCAAAAGTTGCTATAAATAATTATTTGATGGCATACTAGTAGTATGTACATTTAAAAGAAAAATGACTTATTTCTTTGTAGAAAAAATCAATATAAAAAAAGAATATTAAATTACAATAAACAAATTCGAATAGTAAAAATAGAGCATTAAAACAAGACTTGGTCTCATTTTTTCTCAAGGATCCAGTTTATAATCCAACTTTCATTAATATCCTTCCTATTCATATTCCTCGATACTATTCGGGTTTTCGATCATTATTACATCCAAGGATCAAGCTCATCATCCTCAACATTAAAATCAAGATCCAATTCTTCTTGGCTTAAATCTTCTTTGATTTCCTCTTTTCCTAAATCCCAACCCCCATTATCAGTTTCACTCTCCTCTTCAAATAGCAGTGTAGCACTTGAGGTCAATTTTGGTGTATTTTCTATTTGTTCTTGTTGATGTTGATTCTGCTCCGGGTTTGAAGTGGCAGTAGCAGATGATGTTTCAATTGGAACGCACTCTCCATCAGAATCATCGGATATTAAAATGATATTCTTGCCTCGAGTTGGGGGAACAGTTTTTGCATGGACTTCGCAAGGATATTTTACATTGTTTACATGTTTTCTACTATTTGTAGATGAAATCACAGGAAATGATCCTTTCGGCTCTTCTTTTGTCCGATTTGATGTTCGAGCATGCATTCTTGGTTCCCGTGGTGCCAATTTCTGCTGTGAAGAGGTGGTAAATGGGGTTTGTTTTGTGGTAGAAATTGGATCGGCAAATTCCATAAATGGGATATGTTTATTATTAGTTGAAAATGACATTGTGGAAGAAGTTTTTGATTCAGAAGTTGATGATTTACTGCGCAGAGGATAAGCGCGATGGGTGTTGTTTGTACCGAAAGGAGGGATAAAATCTGCGAAATTTTGCTGATAAGTTGCTGCAACTCTTTTCTTTGTATCGGATTTGGCGGCCAATTGAGAACCTCCACCAGTCTCTAAAGAATTATTAGAAGATTCATTGAGTACTTTATCTAATATATTTGATACGCATTTAGAAGTATCTCTGGATGGCATACTTTGGAGAGTCAAGGATGAAGTAGAAATAAATGATTGGAGGAGGAAGATTTTGTGTAGAAAAAGTAGGAGGTGGTATTGGTAGTTGTAAAAATCTCGATTTATTATTGCTGATAAATGATGAAATGGTGATAGATCTTGACAACATTTGATTATTTTTGGGAGTAAAATAATTTTCCGTTTGTTATTGGAATGAATATTTGGATCTTTGCTTGATGAGATGAAAGTTGATGACCTTAGTGATGTACCACGTTTAGTGATGACGATAAAGTTAATATGGTAGAAGTAGAAAATTGAGTCTAACTTTTTTCGTGTTTGTGAATGAAAAATAATTTATATTACTACTACTTCTACTACCACTACTAATAATATCAGAACCAAAATCATCTTTTCCTTCATCGTCTTCCTCCAAGTTTCCACGCATCGATAACTGCTAGCGTAGATTAGCCAATTTCTCACCTTCAGCTCTTAAAGCCTTCGCTTCCATTATTAACATCTCTTTTTTAGTCTTATATTCTTCGCGTCTGTGGTAGAAATTCCTCTCCATCAACAGCAACTTTTTTCTCGTGTCACGAAAGTACTCTACATCTTTGTCGGCAGGCTTCGTCGTGGAAAATGACGATATAGATGTTAATGATGTAGACAAGGGTGAGGAAGGTGTCATTATAAAATTATTTCTGTTGTTGTGGCTGTCGAGATTTATTTCTTTATTTAATATTTCATGTCCTCCTTTGTAATTATTTCCGGTCAATTCTTTTTTGTAAAATTCTTTACCATTAACAACAGCATTCATGACTCCGTTATTTTGCTGTTGTTCTTGATTTTTTATTGCATAAAAAGAAGAGAATGCATCACCAGCAGAATTAATACTCTGATTTCTTGAATTCATTTTTTTATTCAAAGCTAACAAAAATCCCTCGCTGCCTTCACGTAACACCAGCTTTAACCCTATACAATATATATTGATACGCGTTGCTGGGATGAAAATTTAATCAGATTTGGAGCAGTTAAAGCGGAGAACAACTCAGCCACTAATTGCGCCACTTATTCATGTGACCTGCGACACAAATCTTTCGTTTTGATAAACAGAAATTGATTGAATATCACTCAGGATCTGATGATATCTCATGTCAGATGATCAAGAAAAATAGTGAATAATTACAATATAAAAAATTAATCAACTTATTTTACAATTAGAAAAAATTTTTCAGATTAAATATAAAAAATCTGAAAAAAATATATGTTAAACTATGAATTGTTATTTGTATTTTTGTATAAAAATAAAAAATTTTAATTAGTAAAATTTAAAACTTTTATATAAAGAAAAAAACTCATATTTTATTATGTTTTATTAATAAATTTTAAAAGTGGTCCATTACTTTTGTAAGTTATTGTATTCTTAAGTTACAATATTTTTTGTAATTAAATTACTGCTTTATACTATAGAAAACACCAGCATTTTTTCTTAAAAAATAGATACAAAATTAGTAAAATTAGCATTAGCAAGATAATACCACATATAAAAAATTAATATTTCAGAATAATTATTATATTTCAAAATAATTATTTAATCATAATGAATTTTATGCCACCAAAGTTGTCACAATTGCATTTATCACAAATGAATACAATAAATAAATGAGCTAAAGTTTGTGTAATCTCACCAAAACTTGATTCTCAAAGTTTAATCATGACTATATCGATACTTTATTTACATTTATATAATACTTACCTAATCTGGAATATATATTATTACAGGATGATTTTTTGAGTCATTAAATACATTTTTTTTGTTAAATCTCTTTCTTTTTGATAATGTTCTTTAAGAAAATTCTTTTGTTGTAATGCAATCTTCGATTTATCCATATTCGGTTCAACAAGAATTACCATATACGAAATTAACCATTTAGGTCAGAATTTAGTGTTTAAATACAAATATTGCAGTCTTGAATATTTGCTAATTTGTCTTCCCCTTCCCGTAGATTTCCTTATTATTCTTATGGCGGATACTAATTTGAAATTCAAATTGCAGTTGTCTTCATTTGTCCTTGTGCTCAATCTTCTTAATGATGGAGATGATGACTTATTCGTATTACTTTCCTCTTTGTTAATGGATCTTATAATTCGAATCATTATTCATCTTTTCTTGATCCTCCTCTTCTCGAAAGTGACAATATTCTTTTTCATAGACTTTTGTCTTCAATAATATGCTAACAAAATTTCCCGATGTACGCCAGTTTTATAAGTTCTTTTGATATTATTGGTTTCCGTTTCGAAATCGAAGAATCTGACATTGTGTCGTCACCCTCCTCATCATTACCACCACTGCCGCTTCTTCACTTGTTAGTTCTTCGTATTCTCGTGCGGGTTCTTTGATCGTGTTTTTCTTTTATTGTAGTGATTACTGTTTGTTCAGAATTCATCTGATCATTTAACGGCTCGAAATATGCGTAATCCATGACTTCACCTGCTGTGGTGACACTAAGCAGAAATATAAAGAATGTTGTGTATAATGTATCAAGCTTGGTACATTGCCCTTTTTTTAACAGTTCTCGCATTCCAATAATTATTTTTTCCTTCCTTTCTTTTGCGCGAATTAGGCTTTGTGATACCTTGGGGTTCGACAATTTCAAGAGAGATCGGTCCTTGTGATTTCTTCATCTCGACAGACTGAAAAAAATTATGGATATAACGAATGATTATGTTTTACCTATCTGATATTGGACTCAAAAGTGAAATTAATTTACCTTCTCAAATGTCATTCTTTACGATGAGAACAATGAATACATATTTTTAATTATGGAATGTGTAGCGACAGATACATCGAAAATAAAAATAAGATTGATTTTACTCACGAAGATCTAGAAAAAATTCGATCCTCCTCCCTGATTTCGAATATTTTCTGGTTATTTTTATCGAGTGAACTTTTTGGTGCTTTGCCAAATCCACGTAACAAATTTCCTCTTCCATTATGGGTGTCTTTCAAGTATGATCCTTCGAAGTTGTAAATGACGAATTCAATCTCTGCCTAGTTACAACAATTAACATATTTTTTTAACAATTCATTACTATTAGACCATTATTTTTAACAATTCAGCATAACATACGGCTATAAAGAACTAAACGCAGGCAAAATTTTACCAAACTAGCGTCCGCTTTTTTCTTTTCTGACAATAATTCATTAAGTTCAGCTTGTATCGCTTTTATTTTATTAGAAGAACCTGTATTTTTCTGAAACATATTGATAATTATAAAATTTTAATACGGCGAGACCAAAAGAAATTATAACACTATAATAATTTGATGAAAAGAGCACCATTGACAGTGGGTCTGTATCAGGCCGAGAAGGTTTTTGCTCTTGTAAATTTGATGGCAAACTTGCAGGCTTCTTTGAATCAGTCATTGTTTTTTTTTGATAGCGATAGGATATTTCTCATAACGATAATCACGATCATGTTTCTTAAAATTGATGTCCGTTTTCACGTAACACTAGTTTTAACTCTGTACATTACCCACCTTTCCAAATATAATTATAATGCGTTTATTATTAATCCTAGCACACATGTTCATCTAAGCAATAACGATAACGATAAGAGTACATGTGTCATTGGGGTATTTCAAATACTAATTAGGCAAAATGATGTAAGGATCAATAATAATGCTATTACGGTTAGATTTTATGCATAAAATTGATCGGCAAAATTGATACATTTTTACTAGTAAATTACTATCAAAAAAAGCGTTTAAAAAATTGGTCCAATTCATCAATCATTTTTGATTATTCCATTAGTAGGGATTTTTTCTTTTGTTTCGCTATATATGCTCTGGCTAGAAAATGAGCGTTTGTCGTGAATTGGTCTTGATAACCAAAAATTTCAAACCGTAATTGTGTGAAGAGGTTTTTCATCATATTATACGTAAAGTTTTATTAAAAGTTATTATGCTAGTTTTAATGCCAGACCATTTTAAACTCAACTTTTGTGATCATTAAATATTCTAACTAAAAAAATCATGCGCGTTTATTACGAATAGACTTTGATAATTAAAAATTTAAAACGTAATTGTGAAAAGAAGTTTTCATCATATTAATGTAAAGTTTTATTGCAATAGTTTTAATACTGAATCTTTTTACAACTTGGTTTTTGTTAACATTAGATGTTCTAACTAAAAAACATGCGCGTTTGTTTTGAATTGGCTTTTGTTAATAAAAATATAAAAATGTATCAAGAGTAATTTGAAAACAGTTTTCACATATCATAATTTTATATTGTTGTTTTAAACCTGACTTTTTTTTTATTCAAAATGACTATGTCAAAGCGTAAAGTGCAATTAAAAGGTGCACTTGGATCATTGGCCAAAAAGCGAGAGATAGATCTGCGCACAAAACTTATTAATGAAATAACCAACCATTTAAACAAAATTTCTATTAAAGAACTTCAAATTATACACAATAAAGTCTTTAATAACTCAAACATTAATACTCTCACATATAATAAAATAATTCATACTCTTAATGTTATGCCCGAAACAGATCTTAAATCGACATCTCATCTTTTGCGTACTATGAAATATTCACATGGAAAGAATAAAAACCAAATTATTTCTTCTTATATTCAAAAAAAGGCATCTAATTATGTATCTGACTCTCTTTACAAGCCTGAAAAATCGATACATGCATTAAGTCATAATAACTCAAACAGAAAATTCAAAAATTACAAGTCTAAGAACCATGTAATTTATAAAATTCGAAAACTTAATAGTTCAGTTGCACAATTTAAGCGCAAGCATTGCCAACACATATCCCGAATTCGTGTCATGGCAAGACATCCACCAGAGTTAAAAGATGATGATATAAAAACTGTGATTAGAAATATGGTTAAAAAAAATAAAAAAGAATATAACACAGACTTTATTAAACTCATCATGCAAGTTTCTCAAATTAGCCAAATGTCTTTTACTTCTGCGATGTTATGATTCAGATATTTTATTGATAATTAATCACTTTTATTATATTTAACATTTTTAATAATTTAATTTAATTAATTTATTTAGAGAATTGTTATTGGCACCCCCCATTTTTGTTATTGGCACCCCTCCACGTGATTCAAAATGGGTCAGTTTGGGTCAGTTCTATAACTGTTCCAAATCACTTGACTCAGAATCACGTGTTCACATGATCCATGACAATCACATGCAAGTTACACCATAACCGCTTTTTACAGGTTTCGCAATAATTATTAACTTTTAATTATCAAACGAACAAAGGAAACAATGAAATAAT